ACCTTATGTTTATGTTTTATTTGTAAACAAACTGAAATTCATGTTGCCTCCATGGAAGAAAAAAGGAAAGTGAACGTTCAATGTTTGCCAGGAACATTTCTAGAAGTAAAAACTAGTTGGGCTATCATAAAGTCACATAGCAGGCAGCCAAAAAGCATATAAATACCAAAACTCGGAAAATGCAATTTTGTTTGTTTACAAAAATTGTAACCATATGTTTTGTGATCATATGTTTTCGTGTTGGATAATTTTTGCTGACTAAAATTTTGCCAGTACAAAATGAACGCTTCTCTTGCATCAAAATGAACGCTTGCTCTCTCAATTTTTGTGTTGGATAATTTTTTGTCGTTATCGAACGCCAACCAGTAAAAATTTTAAAAAACTATTACAAATTTTTGACTTGTCGAACGCACCTAGTTTTACAGGATTTTTCACGAAAAATATTGGATCAGAGCTATTAAATGAAAGAAGATACCGAAACGCATTGAACACTGCACACACCTTGTAAGGAAAAGTGAATTAGTAGTTGCGATCCCGTACGAGTCCGGACTAGTCAAAATCAGTCAGATTTTACTGGAAATCGATCCCGTACTCGGTTCTCTGACTACTGAGAGGACAAAAAAGAGAGTAAATACGGTTCTCTCTCTGTCAGAAGTTACCAGTTTTAGTCCGAGAATTTTTTGTTGGTAAATTCTGGTAAATGTGTCAAACGATCAGCTGTATTGGGTTTGGCAACCAAATTGTAAACAAAAGAAATGTGCACTCTGCTAATGCATGTTGAAAAGTATTTAATTACTTGTTTAAGTGGATTCTAATGAATTTGAAAGTATTTTGGTTATTTACATACGTAAGCTGAGTGTGTTTACATTCAAAATTAGTAAAAATTTACAACCAAAATTTGGAGGTTATGTTGAAGTTGACAGAAGTAACCATTTTCTACTAGAAAGCGATCCCGTACTTTTCAATGTTACTCTCTAGCTCTTAGCGAACGTTTATTTTTTGACAGTTTTACTAGTCCGAGTCCGAGGAATACGGGATTGCACCTATTACGAAATACTAATACAGTGGCAGCACTATAGCTATTTTGGAATCTCGCGTTTCAGTTCGCAAATAGTCTGTTCCAATAGCAGTCCGGTTTACAGGATTTAGTCAGAACTTACAGGAAGTCGTTCCTATTGACATAAAAC